GCTTATTCCAGAGTTGACACAAAAAACTAACCATCACAATGGTCAACCAAGAATTCTATGTATATCAAAATATGCTGCAGGAATGAAGGAAAACTTAAGACATTTCCAGATTCATAAAAGCTGACAGAGTTTGTTGCTAAAAGACCTGACCTACAAGAAATACTAAAGGAAACCCTCCAAGCTAAAATGAAAGGAACTAGATGGTAACATGAAGCTGCATAAGAACTAAAGGGCACTGATAAAAGTAGCTACAGAGGTAAATCTAAAAGCAATTGTTTCTGCACTTTTGGTCTGTAACCCCTCTTTTTTCCTTATATGACTTAAAAGGCAAATGAATAATACAATAGTTATAAGTCTATGTTAACGGGCACATAATGTACAAATATGTAATCTGTGGCAATTACAATATACAGAGAAATGCTCCTACATGGAGATGTGTAAGAGTAGATTGTATATTAGTGTAAACTAAGTTGGTATTTAAGCTAGGCTGTTACAAGTTTAAGATGTTTATTGTAATCCCTCGGATAACCACTAAGAAAATAACTTACAAGTATACTGAAAGGAAAGGAGAAGGGAATCAAAATGGTACATTACAAAAAATCAACTATGGTTTTAAAAAGGCAGCAATGGAGGAATTGAGGAACATGAATAAGGTAAGACATACAGACAATATTAGCTAAATGGTAGAAGTCTTTCCTTATGAGTAATTACTTTAAATGTAAGTGGATTAAATCTTCCAATCTAAAGGCAGAAATTAGTATTATGGCTGAAAAAACACAATTTATTTGCTGTCTGCATGAGACTCACTCTAGATAAAGAACAAAAACTGGTTGAAAGTGAAAGGATGGAAAAAGATATTCCATGCAAAAATAACCAAAAGAGAGCCAGGTTATATTATCATAAGATAAACTAGATTAAGTCAAAAAATTTACAAGAGCAAAGAAGGACATTAGATATTACCAAAAGTTTCAGTCTATCAAGAAGTTTACACATCTAATGACCAAGCCCCAAAATATTTAAGTAAAAATTGACAGAATTGAAAGGGGAAGTAATTTTACAATAATAGCTGGGGGCTTTAATACATCACTTTCAATTATGGATAGAGCATCTAGAGAGAATATCAATAAGGAAATAGAGGACTTAAGCAGCACTATCAAACAGCTAGACCTAACATACATAAATAGAACCCTTCACCCAAAGGCAGAGTATATATTCTTTTCAAGTGCACACATAACATTCTTCAGAGTAGACCATGTTTTAGGACACAAAACAAGTCTGAATAAATTTTAAAGGAATGGAATTTTACAAAGTATCTTTTAGGCCCACAGTGGAATGAGACTAGAAATTAACAATAGAAGGAAATGTGGAGAAAGTCACACATATTTGGAAATTAAACAATACACCTTAAAACAACCAGTGGTCCAAAGAAGAAATCAAAAGGGAAATTAAGAGGTATCTTGAGAGAAATGAAAAGAAAAGCCCAACAAATCAAAACCTACAGGATACAGTGAAAGCAGTGTTCAGAGGGATATTTATAGCTGTAAATGCTTATACTAAAAAATATCTCAAATCAATGGCATAACTATAAAGCTTAAGGAACAAAAGAATATAAGAACAAAGAAATCCAAAGCTAGCAAAAGGAAAAAAATAAAGACTAGAATAGAGATAAACAAATTAGAAATAGAAAAACAATAGAGAAAAATCAATGAAATAAAAAGTTGGTTCTTTGAAAAGATTGATACAATGGAGAAATCTTTATTTAGCTAGATTGACTAAGGAAACAAGGGAAGAATCAAATAACTAAAATAATAAATGGGAGAGGGAACATTACAACTGACCTTATAGAAATAAAAAGGATTATAAGAGAATACTATTAACAACTATACACCAACATATTGGATAATACAGATGAAATGAACAAACACAAACTACCAAAACAGATTCAAGAAGAAACAGAAAATCTGAACAGGCCTATAACTAGGAAGGAGATTGAAGCAGTACACAAAAACTTTCCAACAAAGAAAAATCCAGGACCAGATGTCTTTCCTGGTGAATTCTATCAAACATTTAAAGAAGAATTAACATCAAATCCTTCTCAAAGTCTTCCAAAAATTAAAGAGAAGGGAATTCTCCTCCAAACTCATTCTATGAGGTCTGCATTATCAAGATACCAAAGCCAAACAAAGACATTATACAAAAAGAAAACTACTGACCAATATCCCTTATGAATATTGATACAAAATCCTCAAGAAAAAACTAGCAACTTGCATTCAGTAGTGCAGGCTTACCCAAAATGATCAAGAGGGATTTATACCAGGAATGCAAAGTGGCCCAACACGTGACACACAAATGGTCAAGAAGCACATGAAAAGATGCTCACCATCGTTGGTCATTAGAGAAGTGCAAATAAAAACCACAATGAGATTCCATTCCACACCTACTAGGATGTCTATAATGTTAGAAAAAATGAAAAGAACAAGTGTTGGCAAGGATATGAAGAAACTGGAACCCTCCTACACTGCTGGTGGGAATGTAAAGTGGTGCAGCTGCTGTGAAAAATAATTTGGCAGTTCCTCAAAAGGTTAAATGTAGAATTGCCAGAAGACCCAGCAATTCCACTCCTAGGCATATACCCACCAAAAAACTGAAAGCAGGGACTCAGATACTTGTACACACATGTTCATAGCAGCATTTTTCACAATTACCAAATGAAGTGTCCATAGGCAGATAAATGGATAAACAAAAGGTGGTATATGCATACAATGGATTATTTGGCCATAAAAAGGAATGAAGTACTAATACATGCTAAAACATGGATGAGCCCTGAAAAGATGCTAAGTGACATAACTCAGACACAAAAGGACAAATATTGTATGATTTTAGTTACGTAAAATGTTTAGAATGGGCAAATTTATAGTGACAGACAGACAGTAGGTTAGAGATTCATAGAGGTTCCTGGGGGTAGGGGAAAAAAGGGAGTTTTTGCTAATGTATTTATATAGGAATAGGGAGTTGTTAGTGGGTACAGAATTTCTGTTTGGGGTATTGAAAAGTTTTGGACATTTTGAATGCCATTAATGTCACTGAATTGTACATTTAAAAATGGTTAAAATGCAGTTTATGTTATATATATTTTATCACAATAAAAAAATAGTAGAGATAAAAAAGAAATACCTAAACTAAGAAAATGTGGGAGTGGGTTGGGGAGGAGGAGCTTGCACCCTTGAGGGCTGCAGCAAAGAAAAAACATGTCTGCAAATATCAGAAGCCTAGAGACAGAGGAAGTAAATAGGCTCAGAGACTCTTGAATGTAGGTTCTTGCTAAGATCTGCCTTATTTTTAAAGAAATGCTGTAGCTGTTTAGTCTCATTTAGTGAACATAAACTAAAAGTGGGTTATGAGGTGAGGGATTTTTGGGTGGGGCTCATCAAAGAGGAAAGAAGCAAAAAGTCAGTTATTCAGGCAGCGTCCTTAGCCAAGATTGTGAAACAATTTAAGCATCACCAAATAACACTGAGTTATTTGTAACAGAAATTTCTAAACCAACTGTTCTCTCAGAGAAAGCAACTTTCTCTGCTAATTGAAATCCTATCCATTCTCCAAACTGGAACTCAAATGCTACCTCCTCCAGGAGGCCTTCCCTGATTGCTGATTTTGTGTCTTCTGGACTCCCACTGCAGTTTTCCTAAACGATCCTGGGTTTGGGTCATAAAAAATGGAGTTCGTTAAGACAGTCCTGGGCTCTCTTCCCATTCTATATGCTCTCCCCAAGTCAGTGACTCATACTTTTCTATCTCCAGATTGGAATTTTTCTCTGAATTCCAGAATTGCATAGTCAACTCTATCTCCATCTATGTAGCTCAAAGCAAAGCACAGGAAGTTAAATATGTTCCAAATGGAGCATATTCCTCCAAACTGTGGTCCATCTTTAGTGTTCTCAAGTTTAGCATAGAGTACTTCCATCCATCACTCAAATGATATATGGACTGGATCCAGAGGACATCTTCTTGATCCTCGCCTCGCATCTCCATCCTCTTAGGAAGCACCATTGCTTTTACTTTACTCCACCACCCTTTTATGGCTGTCTTGGTGCAAACTACTATCACCTCTCCCTGGACTACTACCTTGACAGTCCCTAGATGTGTTTCCTTGCTTCCATTCCTAGCCCCCTCTAACTGTTCTCACAGCAATGGTTTCTTCCCCCTGCCTAAAACTTTTATATGGTTCTGCCTGATCTGGCCCCTGTCTATCCTCCAGCCTCATCCTCCCATCAATTCAACAAATACATCATTTGTTCACACTTCCAGTCTTTACAGATATGAGTCCCTCTGCCTGGAATGCTTTCTTCTCTTTATCTGGTGAGTTTCTTCTTACTCTTTAGAACTCAACTCAAATGTGATTCAGCAAATAAACCTTTCCAGACCTCTCCCCTCTCTCCTCCAAATTATGGCCAGTAGCAGGTCCCACTATGACTACATTCCTCTGTGGAGGCTTGGCACAACTGCCAATCAGTAGTCAATAAGGAGGAGGAGGAATAGTCAAGAACCTGTTTTCTTTCACCAGGTCCTGGAAGAATATTCAACATGTATTAGGTGCTCAATAAAGGTTTGTTGCATGAACGAATGAACAAGGGATAGACTATCTGCCATTTTCCAGGCTATGACTACAGAAAAGTCTCTTGGTATCCTTGATTCCTATTTTCCAGTGTGAAAAACAGGGTATGTAGTCCCTTCTATCCAGGCATTGCCTGGCATCCCATGGGCTCTCAGTGCTATATGTTTGTTCCTATTCTCATATTAAAGCACTGGAAGCCTAAGAAAGATACTTAATCATCCTGGGACTGTGGGGACTCAGGAAGACTTTCCAGAGGAGGTAACATTGGTCTGAGTTTCAGGAAGGAAGGAGGTCTAGACAAAGAGTGCAGCATGCATGGATGCTAAAAGTTTGGGGTTCACCTGGGCACACACTGCTGTGTGGCCCTCCAGTGTTCAGCTGCCCACCTTGCATGCCCTCTATGCGGAAGGTGCGGTACTCCACCGACAGGCCAATTGCGCTGTACGGACCATAGCGCATGACGACCAACGCGTTCTTGGGCATGGCCAGCTGCCTGCTGGGACTACAGCGCAACACACACTCCTAGGCAACTGCTTTTCAGCGCCCTCAGAGTGGGTGTGGCCACTCTCGAGTGGGTGGGTCCCGGGCTTTATGGGATGAAGCTCAAGGATCTTTCTCACCCCAAGTACCCTCCTGAGCATCTGGCCTAGGGGGTGGGGATGAAGAATCTCCCTTCCCAGATGCCTGAACCACCTACTGTGCACCCTCTGCTAATACAGAAAAGTGTGTTGGGGGTCAGAGGTGGTCGCTTGCTGTTACGACCCTCAAACAGGGTTTCAACCTGGTATGGCAGGTGTTAATGGTAAATAACAACAATAGGCAACATTTACAGCTGGTTGCAGAATGTATGAGTCAGGTGACATGCTAAGCACTTTTCATATTATCTCATTTTATCATTTGACCATCCCTATGAAATAGGTTGTATTTAGTATTTACAAAATTGAGGCTCAGAGGAGCCAAGTAGCCTTCCCAGGTAAGTCAGGGGTATGTTTATTTTATTTATCTTGCCTGGGATTTGTTGAGATTCTTGAGACTATGAATTTAAGTCCTTCATCTGTTTGGGGAAAAATGTGAGCCATTATCTCTTACCTGTTGCCTCTGTCCCATTTTTTCATTCTTCAGGGGGACTCCAGTTAAATTTACATTAGACTTTCTCACTGTATTCATTATGTCTTTTCTGTGTTTTTCTCTCTTTTTTCCTTCCATGCTTCTTTGGGATTGTATGTTTGTATGTATGTGTGCATTCATTCACTCATTTTAATCTGTAACTCAGTTCACTAATTTTCTCCGCAGCTGTGTCTTAGCTGTTATTAAAGCCACCTATCTCGTTGTTTCTTTCAGTTACTTATTTTTCAATTCTGAAATTTTAGTTTGGTCCCTTTTCAAATCTGCCCTGCCATGTTTTATAGTTCTTGGTTTCTTGCCAAATTTTTTAGGTTTAGTGTTATCTTCTTGATGGTAATAAAGATTTTTATTTTATAGTCTGCATTTGAGAACACCATTATCTGGAGACCCCATGTGTCTGTTTCTATTGTTATTTCTGCTGGTTTCTGCTCATTTTATCTTGTCTCCTAGAGTGCTTGGTTTACTTTAATTGTGTATTGGAGATTGTATTAGAAAAATTCTTTGCAGGAACCATTTGAGGCCAAGAATGATTTTATCTTCCTCAGTAGAAGAATTTTTTTTTACACCTCTTGCCAGGTCTTGGTAGCACCAGCAACTCAAGATCATTTAAATACATTTTCAGTGCTTGAGATTTTCTATGTCATTCAGATAGCTTCAAACTGGGCTGCAGTTCATGTGGAGGTTGGTTTATGTTTTATCCTCATTCCTGTGGTGTAGTCCTTTAAGATCCAAGCCCAGTGAGGGTGATGGCTTATCAGAGTTCTCCCTTGATGGTGCTGTACTTTAACTTTTGTATGTCTAACTATGCAGAGTTTCAAAAATTGCATCTCATCTTCTTCATTACCTATTTAGGATCATTACATAGCCTTAGAGTAAAAGCATCTCCAGTGCTATGCTTACTTATTCTCATCCTCTCCCTGATCTTGATCCAGTTAGTTCTTTTATGATAGTCAATATCTTAAAAAATATGTGCCAGTTTTAAAGATGTTTTCTGTTGAAATCTTAGTCTGAATTAACTAGTGTACTGTTATCAGAAGCAAAAATTTTCCTGTTGAGAGTTTTGTTGAGGTTGTACTGAATCTAAAGATCGATTTCGGGAAAACTGATATCTTTCTGAGATCTTCTTATTCATGATCTTGAAATACCTCTCCTTTATTTAGGTCTTCTTCAAATGCCTTACCATACAGTTTATAATTACCTGCATATAGATGTTCATGTCTTTTGTTAGATCTATTTATTGCTAGAGTCTATTGTAAATCGTGTATTTTGTATTGTGATTTTATTGCTTGTTGCTGGTGTGTAGAATGAAATTGACTTTTATATATTGACCTTACATAAGCTACCTTATTCTTTTGTTATTATTTCTATTAATTTATTTGTGGATACTTTTGGGTTTTCTATGTAGATAATCATATTGTCTACAATGACAGTTTTATTTCCTTTATTAAACCTTTCTTTTTTTCTTCTTATCTTATTGCACAGGTTAGAACCTCTAGTGCAATGATCAATAGAAGTAGTAATGATGCATATTCTCTCTCTTTATCCTGATTTTAAAAGGAAAGGAACATTTCCAACATTTACATATTTTGGATGATGTACATTGAAAGTTTTTTACAGATGTTCTTTGTCAAGCTAGGTTCTTTTCTAATTCCATTTTACTGTGAGTTTTTAAAACAATTATAATTGATGAATTTTATTGAATTCATTTTAATGATCTATTAGAATTATCCTATTATTTATTTATTTATTTATTTATTTATTTTTATTAAGGTATCATTGGTATACGCTCTTATGAAGGTTTCATAAGAAAAACAATGTGGTCGCTAACTTCACCGTTCTTGTTGAGTCCCTCCCATACCTTACTGTAGTCAATGTCCATCAGTGTAGTAAGATGTCACAGAGTCCCTATTTGTCTTCTCTGTGCTACATTGTCTTTCCTGGGACCCAACACACACCATGTGCACTAATCATGATACCCTACAATCCCCTTCTCCCTCCCTCTCCACTTGCCCTCCCACACCCCACCCCTTTGGTAACCACTAGTCCCTTCTGTGAGCCTGCTGCTACTTTTTTCCTTCAGTTTTCCTTCGTTGTTATACTCCACAAATGAGGGAAATCATTTGATGCTTGTCTTTCTCTATCTGACTTATTTCTGATCCTATTATTTTTATTCTTTAAGCTGTTGATGGGTAAATAACATTTAGATATCTGATATTAAATTACCTTGCATTCTTGGATATACCTGACTCAGTCATGGGTATATTATTTTTTTTTATATACTCTTAGAATGTGTTTGTAATATTTTGCTTAGGCTTTCTGGATATATTTGCAGGAGTTAAATGGGCCTGTAGTTTTTCTTTATTAATAGTGTGTCCTAGTCTGGTTTGGATATTAAAGTTACACTAGCTTCAGAAAATAAACAAGGGAGTATAGAAGAAGAAGAAATATCCCCTTATTTACTTTGTATACAATTGAAATGATCATTTCTTTGGATGTTTGATAGAACATGTCTATAAAATGTTATGTTCCTCCCTTTCCCCCACTTTTGCCCTGATTGGGAAAATTTTAAACTACTGCTTCAATTTATTGAAGATCTATGAGACTACCCAGGTTTTATTTTTTCTTTCATCAGTTTTAGTAAATTATATTGTTCTATTTTTATCATTTTTATCTACATTTTCAAATTCATTGGTACAAAATTGTTGATGTATTTTTTATTTTTTAAATGTCTATTTTATTGTAGTTATGTCAGCTTTTTATTTATAATAATATTTATTTCTGAATTTCTCTTTTTATATTATTGGTTTTACCAGAGACTTGTCTATTTTGTTAGTCTTGTCAGAGAATCAACTTTTGCTTTGTTTAGCTTCTCTATTTTAAAAAATGTTCTCCTTCATCTATAGCTGTTTATATTTTTATTACTTTTTTTGTTTACTCTTCCTTCTACTTTCTTTGAGTTTACTATTTGGTTCTTTTTCTTATTTTTAAAGTTACACTTAGTTTATCAATTTTCATTCTTTCTTCTTTTCTGATATAAGTATTTTATGCTATGAATTTCCCTCAAAGTATCTTTTTTGCTGTATCCTGCAGGTTGTGACATGAGATACCTTTATTATCATTTTGGTCTAAGTATTTTAAAATCTCTATTATTATTCTTTGTAAATTTTAGATTGATATATTCCTTTAATTATGGGATATTCATAGCCATTTTCTCATTGAATAGTTCTTTCCCCCATTTTATCTAATCTCTCCTTCTTGAACTCCTACATATGTCTTCCCTGAATTTTTATTTCTTTATAATGTTAAACATATCTATTTTATAACTTTTCTCTGAGTCATTTATTCATTCCAACCTTTGTGATGTTAGTATTCCTGTTTATTTTATCTGTTGCTTTTCCTCCTGTGAGCCATTTCTTGTGCTGTATATATGCTTTTACTTGGAGCTCATATTTAATGGAGCACTTCCCCCCCCTGGATATTTAGTGTGTCCAGAGTAGTGGAAAGTGTTTTTATATTTGATTCTGCTGAGGCCTTTTGAATCTTACTGACCCAGCCAATTTTTTTTTTTTTTTAATTATTGGCGTGGAGTTCTTGCTTTAGAGATAAGTTGATAGATTTAGACTCCACATCCACCCATGGTACAAGTTTATAGTTCCTGGATGTCTTTTTTTCTAGTCTGTAGCTCTGAGGGAATGGCATGGTTCCTGAATGCTTTCCTGGGCTGATGGATAGTTTTTCTAGTCCTTTTTGGAGGGTTGGAACACCCCTCTGATGCTCTGGTTTTGTGTGGAGAGCTTAGCTCTATCTCCCACCTTTAGGGGGCTGAGGTTATGTCTTCTCAACTTGCATGAGTGGTAAACCCTGCTGTCAGGCACTAGAGTCTCTCTGGTCCGATATACTTTTAGCTCCCACTCATTGTTCTGTTTTGGACATCCTTCTTGGAATTTTCTTGGAATGTGAGTATTTCTTTTCATTTTTTGAAACTTGACTATATATATGAAAGAATTTCCTCTTTATGTGTAAGTTTTTATAGGTGGAGGGGGCCCTTCTGCATCAGCTTAGCCTGCCATTTTGCTGCTCCTTAATAGAGGCCAAGGACTGAATTCTGGGATCCAATGACATATAAAGGACAGAAATAGGAAATGAAATCCCACAAATGGATCCCATAAATGGAAGAAGCAGTAGGGGAACAAACAAACAAGGAGAGAGCTGGTCCTTAGAAAACAAGGGAGAACAGAGTTTTTAGAAAGGTCTTCTAATGTGATGGCAAACCAGCTTTTCCCTGGGGTGGAATATCACTTACCTTGCAGACTCAAGAGACCTCTTTGGAAGGAAAACTAAGAGAAACATAGGGAGATCGGCTGAATTTATAAAGGGAACCCAAGGCACTTCTTCTCTCTCACCTAAGAACTCCCTAAGAGCAATTTGGAAACTTCTGGCTACTCTTGCGAACCTGGGAAGGACTCCTCCCTGGATTTTTACTTTAATGTACCAACATCCACTCCACAGAACCTTCAAGGAGGGGATGGCATAATTTTATGTTGGGGGTTGGCTTCATACCTGTTTGTACTCCTCTCTTTCTGTTGTCTGTGTCTGCTTATTTTGAGGCCACATGTGATAGATGTAATAAATAAGAGCAAGCCCATATTACTTTGACTCTGTTCATTCCTATTCCCTTCATTCCTCCTGGAATATTCTTAGCCATGATCTTTCTGCATAATGCCTTTTTGACGTCCCAATTACACAAATTCAAACACTTTAGGTTCCTCTTAAGCTCTGATTAGAGAGCATTTGGACTTCTATTTGAAGGAATCTCAGTCCTGGTTCTGTGGGTTACTGTAGCTGCAGAGGAGGCCTTGCAGCTTTGAATATATCTTTAGACTGTGTAGGGTGAGGGAAACTGTGTGCACATGTATCTGAGAGCCTGCAGTAAGAACGGTAGGTTTTTACATCCCTTCCTAAGTTTTCAAACAATGATCATTGCACGTCATCTTGTCACAACCCTGCAAGTGGGCAGTGCTGATATCAACTCCATTTTACAGATGAGAAAACTGAGGGCTAGAGAGGTGAAATTATACCCCCCCAATCTACAGCAAATTAGAGATAGAACTGGGTTTATAGTGCAGGCATCCCACTTCCGAGCCTGATGCATTCTGCCTATGCATGTTTGTGCGGGTTTAAGTGGAGGCACCCATCTCTACACCCAGGTTTTTGCCAACCTGATCACAAACACCCTGTGGAGACTCTGCCCCTCACCCCCACTGCATGGTACCATGCCACACATTAGGAGACTACATTCCTTCCTCCCTTCCTTGGGCTACCTCCTGTAGCTGTTAGACATTCTCCACTGCTGCTGGCAGACCTCAGACAAATGAATTGTTGAATTCACAAGAAAATTTTTATAGCATTTCTGGGTAAAACAATGGCCAACACCATCTTTCTTGGCATTACCTTTTATTGACTATGAATTTAGGGTCTTCAAATAATTTGAATATAATTCTTTCAATATACAGTTCTTTAGTCATACATATATTTCTTTAAAGCACAAAACTATAACTTAAAGTGGAAAGGCTATAAATACACATGTACATATTGCCATAAATCTAGAACTATTTTAGAAAAATAGAACTCAAATGACTTCATATATTTTGGCAACTGAGCAGTAGTATAAGGTGGCCACATACATTTTTATTTTGCATCACTGCCCCAAAATGACTGTCTCCAGGTTTCATTTTCCATCTCTTGGGGACACTTGGAAAAATCTGTACCAGTGGGTCCCCATGGAGATGTCCAGGGCCATGGCTCAGCATTGTCTTTGCATAAAGACTCAGCACACCCACCTGTTTTGGAGGGGGAAGACCAGCTTCCAGTCCCTTTCTCAGAGAAAGGAGGTGTTCCCTCCTGCCATCCACACTTCTCAAACCCTCACAGTGCATGGTTGATATCTGAATAGAGTCAGTTTCCTTTCCCCATGATCAGAGAATGGCAAATGAGAATTTGCTCTGTTAAATCAGTATAAACAGTTCGAAACAAAAGTCATCTAAACAGTGCCCACTGGGTAATGTCACCTTGTCTCTGGGCACTGGTACCCACCTACTTGTGCAATGCCCTTTACACGCATGACCCACAGTCCTTACATCCTTGCAGGTCGGGATGTTGTTCTTACCCCCATTGGATGACAGAGGGAATTGAGTGGTGGGGTGCTTAAGTCTCTTGGCCAAGGTCAGCAGAGCTGCCTGATCCCCAATCTAGATGTCTCTGCCTTCCAGAAACCCATGGGTGGAAACCACAAGAGAACTTAGAGCTGCACTGTGGTTAACTGGTGAGAACAGACAAGTGTCTTTGGGTCAACTTACAGCAGGCAGACAGAAGCTCCCCAGACATTGCCGGGGCTCTTGGGCTGCAGCTTCCTAAGGGGAGCAGGAAGGTGGATATCTGAGGGAAGGAGAATGGACTACAGACCAATGCCTTTGAAGGGCACTGCCAGAACCTTCCAGAACATCCAACAGAAACCCTCAATCTAAAACCAGAGCTCAAGGAATTCACTGCTTGAGGCTCTTTGTATTTTCAAAGAGCTTATCTCAGCCTTGTTTGCTTCAGTACAGGTGAAAGTGCAGAGGGCTGGCACAGAAGCCCAAAGAAAGGACACGTGCAGGGTCCCAGAAACAGGGGCACTGCTTAGAATGACGCTGAGCACAAGTAGGATAGATAGAGGATGGAGGGCTTTTTCAGGAACACTCCCTACCACCCTTGTCAGGGATCACAGGGGACCTGGCAGCCCTGAGAGCTGAGCTCTGTGCCTCCTCTGGTTAGTGGCCAGTTAGCAGCCTCAGCTATTTACAGTTGTGATTTTTCTGGTGGTTTACCTGCTCCCTTGCCTTTTTAGATTTCCCGTAAAAATTCTCGCCAATTGGAAGGAAGTGCCTCTCACATTTCCTGGATGATCCGAGCCTCTCAGGACAATCTCGACTCTGGCTCTGTGACTGTCTGCCTGCATCAGGGCAGGCTCTGGAACTGACCATTCCCTGGGAGCAGCTGGCTCCCAGCCCCAAGGCCAGTGCAGAGCCCTGCTCTCCACTCCCCAACACGGGTTTTAGTCAGAATCCTTGGATAACATCCTCCACGACAGAAGCCCACTGTCCAAGTGTGCTCTGCTTGGGCGACTGAGATCATTTTCTGAAATTGATGTCACAGTGGTTTGTCTTAAGAGTGAACACAACAAGACCAAGGAACAACTGATAGCCATCTTCTCTAAAAGGCAGGTCACCTATCAGGCATGTTTCCTGTGAAGGGCTGTGGGAAAAAAGGCAAGTGGCAGGATGCCAGAGCCGTGGACTGCTCCTCCCTCCATCCCTCCTGCTTGCTGGCCCTGCTGATTTCTCAACCAGGTCCATCCCTGATGCCCTTGGGGAAGCAGGGAGCACCAACTACTCCAGGGCAATGAGAGGCAATTTTTTTTCTCTTTCAGAATAGCTGGTCCAGATTTTCTGAACTCAGTGGAAGGCTGCCCTGGGAGGCAAAAGAAGAAATGTGTTTGTGGGCCCAAGTCATTATAGTTTAAATTAATGTGTGTGTGTGTGTAGAGGAGTGGGTGCTTACATAACTATATGGCTCAGCACAGGCTACCCGAAATGCCAAGATCAGATTGCCTTTTAAATCTGAAAACAAAGCCCCCTACTCCTCTCAAGAAGAGAAGAGGTAATGACCTGGAGTTAGCCTCTTCCTTCTTGATTCATTTAGGTACACTGCATGTAGTAAGATGAGTCATTCTTTCATTGGGCAAAAACATCCCCTGGACAGTCTGGGTCCTGCTGGAGAAGCAAACACCCACATTAAGCTTCTGAGGCCATGGAGCGAAGTCAGTGTGGACTTCACCTCACCCAGGCCGCCTCTGAGCCAGGATGGTCTTACTTTCCAGTGCCCAGGGCACCTTGGTAAATAATGACAATTCTCATGCATAATGAGGGACACTTTCCTCCTAACTCTCTAGCTTTGTGTGATGCCTCAGGGGTGGTCTGTGTGTTGGGCCCTGAAGACAGGAGAGCTACAGAAAGTGGGGGTGAGGACTGGGAGCAGGGCTCAGCAGGGGCTGGCAACTGCTGAATGCTGGATTTGCTGAGGTGAAAGCTGGTGGCAGGAGTCAAGGTCGGCTGGGTCTTGTTGCCTTTCCTTTTGTCGCCAGGGGCTCGCCCACGGCCAGCTGCGGCAGACTGTAGAGGTCTCTCAGGTCAAGGAGGCTTTCTTCCACAGCTTTTGCAAACTTGGCAGAAGAAGTCTCTTTGCAGCTACGAAAGCTGGAGATGCAGAAAAGGATGCACTCTGGCTGGGGGTTGTAGCAGGTACCATACCCGTTGGGCACCACAGGACCATAGCAGCAAAATATCTCCATGGTTGTGGGCACCTGGAGGGGACGAGAGGCTGGAAGCTGCTCATTCTGACACAACCTGTGAACCTGCTAGAGCGCAGGGCATTCCAACAAACTGGGGGTCTTCCCAAGATACCTGCTTCTCTATTTTCCACCTGGGTGTTTGACTAAACTAACCAAATCAACCAACTGCTTCAGCATGAATGGCCACGGCCAGAGTCATAAAAACAAACCCATCTAACTGCAAGAGAGCAACAGAAGAGGGGCCATCAGCTCCTCCCTGGTGTGAAATCTGCTCCATTTGTGGAGTTAGAAGCTCCCAGAGTGACCTGGGGCTGGGTCTCAGGCTAAGCCTCTCCTTCACCTGGGGGCCCTTTGAGGCACTGAGGCAATCAGGATAATTTACTAAATGGCACTCTGGGGGCACTCAACAGTTAGATGGCTTCCCAGAGGGAGTAATTTATGGAACTGGAGGAAATCTGTCCTGTCTTCTGTCGATTTTCCCCACATCCTTAATTACTGTCAGTGTAGCCTGGCTGCTCTGATTGTCTCCCCACGGCCTGGCCATGCACAATTACCCAGCAGCACTGGGCGTTTCGAAGATTGCTGTCACTGGAGTTTTAGTTATGCACCTAATATGTTTTGAATTCAGAGAGCCAAGATTTTGATCTGAATCACAAACCAAGAAAATGTGTTTCTAAAGGCATTCAACCCATAAATAAATGTTCATTTCCAGTTGAAAAAGACCCAAACCACCACACTTCAAATTAATTTTCTTAGCTGGTCTGAGGGGAGAAAACAGTATACATTGTTGGGCAGGTGTGGGGTGGGGTTTGTTTTAAACCGGAGGTTTCTCGTGCTGTGTACTCAGGCCTTCAGAAATGACACTGGCCATTTTAATGGGGCAGAATAAACCATTAGTCTGGCTAATAGAGTCACCTCATTGTCAGATAAATTTGCCGTGCAACAGCCAAAGGCCATAAAACCATTTCAAAGCACTTTTTGCCCACAGATGGTTTCCTGAGGAATTTATGTTGCTGTGTTCTGTTCTCATATATTCATGTCTGCAAGCTCACTGCCATGATGACAAAATCAAATTACTGAGTGGGCTTTTATTCTCAAACACAGCTTTATCAGCCCCTTTTATTACCCATGTCCAACCTTCAGCAGATGAGGTAGAGTTTGAGTGAATTGGCTGGGCGGTGGGGGGCGGGGGTATTTTCTCTCCTAAACTGCCGCCTTTCTCTAATGGGTTTCATTCTGTCTTTGTGACAGTGGCTCTCCCACAGGACCAGCCTATACCACTGGTTAGGATGCTGGGCTGGCAGCTGATTGCCTGCTGTTGGTCATGTGGCTCTTTATCACAGCGGCGGTGACCTGTTTGGAGGGTCCTGTCTGTACCAGGCACTGGGCTAGCTTTCTACCTACTTCATCTCATCTTGCTGAGCCAAGACTTCACTGCAGGCTGTCAGGCTTCAGAGTCTCTGATCACTGTGGTGGAATACCACCTCTTGGGAACAGATAGAAAGGTGGTAAGCACAGTGCTTAGGGCCCATCCCATCCAGTCCAGCTCTGCTAAGGTGGCATACATGATTACTCCCTCTTATAAGATTGGGAACCAGTGCTCTGAGCATTTGGATCCTTTTGCTGAAGGTCACATAGATCATAGGACCCTGACCTGGGACCTGCGTGACTCCAACTGATGGCCTGTGGTCACTGAGCTCTTTAGAAAGCCCACTGGTTACACTAAGTGATGGCCACACTAGGGCTGTACCTGGCTGGTGGAGAGGACAAACTGGTTGCTCATCAGGTATGTTTCGTTCGTGAACATCTCGGGCAGCTCCTTGCACGTGTCTCGGGCCAGCTCCCGCAGCCCCAGCAGGTGGTTGTCAATGGCCATCCCTTTTATGGCCTGGGTAGTTGGGGGGCAAAGAACAGGAAACAAGATGTGAGCTCCTCCCCCCTCCCCCCTACTCTCCAGACTACGGTGCTAACGGCTGTTCCAGTGCAGCCCACGCTTACCTAGTGCTTGCTGCAGACGGTGTGTGCAGGTGGCTGCCCACCACTGACCACTTTACTACACGGCCTCTGCTCTTTGGGCCTTTGCACATTTCTGTGTGCACAGGATGAATGTAGAGCAGGTTGTGTTCTAGCATGAGTTAGAGGTTGGTGAGTCTGAGTGCCCCGCTAAGCACGGTCACTGATGACATGCACTGTGTATAACCGCATGGTGTTTATGTGGAAGGAATGGGTTGGCCGGGCCATCCCCAGCACCTCCTCAGGAAGGGGATGAATCTGCAGAGAGGGACAAGTGCTGGGCCCAGGGACTGCAGGGCCTCATCCTAGCAGGGGAAGTGTGCCCTGGGCTGTCGCTGGACAGACTCTCACCACAACCAACAGTGGGAGCCCAAGGAATGAGGGACAGAGGGCATTAAGGTCTGTTCCTGAATCTTGGCTGCTATTTAATGAGCCTAGAATCAGTTAAACTAAACTGGACTTATAATAAGAAATCATTCTGAGAAGGGAACTAGACATCTTAGCAGAGGCTCAGCTGATGTTTTCAAGGGGAAAGCTTGTTGAGTGAAGACAGGTTTTCTCTTTTTATCACGAGATATTTGAACTTTTATCCAGGGATATGGTAACAGCAGTGGGGACTCCAGAGTTCCAAAGCAGGAGGAGCTCAGGGGTGGTGGTTTGGCTGGTAGTGGGGCTGGGGGCAGGACACTCATTCTATGTCTTTCCAGCTTGAGGCTGCATGTGCAGTCTGTGCAGTCTGCACATTGGTTTTGTTTGGATTACATGTATATTTGGGGCAATTTGGGGGTTGATGAAGACATGGGGGGCCACCTCTGGCCTGTAGCAATAACCTTCAGTTCAACATCAGGATAATTGGGAGTAATTCTTGTGTGTCGAGGGGTTGTCTCACAATTACATAAGATAGCCACTTAGATGTTAAAACCCCTCATAGCAAGAAACTTCCCATCACAATGAACTTTGTTCAAGCTTACAAGGCATGATTTGGGATTTGACAGCAGTTCTCTTTCCATTGAGAACAAATGCGTAAAGATGACTCAGAGGGCCCAGTCTCTCCAAATGCACCTATTTATAGGCTGAAAAAAACGTGTAGAAAACCACAGCTCACTTTAGATGTGTCCCGTTAGGAGAGAGAGAACTATAAGCCCATCTCTGAAATAGAGCGCACTGTTAATTTCTCTGGTTACCTCTGTTTAATTGCTGATTTGTGTAGCTCTATGGAAGCAGCTGCTCTGTACAGCAGCCAACCCACCCATTTTCACCATCTCTGAACTCACTTTAGCAGTTGCAGTTGATTTAACAGATTGTTTGCATTAAAGCCACGAACAGTAATGGGTAAAATGACTCATCACTCTTTCTTTCATTCAGGGAATCTTGAGTGCCTACTATGTGCTGGCACTGCTAGGTGCCGGAGCAATAACAGAGAATGAAGTAGTCATAGACTCACATGTGGTGGGAGGCAGATATTAACCAACAGTACAAATAAACTTATGATCATAAACCAAGGTAAGTGTTATGAAGGAAAGGCATCAGGTACCGTGAGAGTATGTGATGGGTGGGTCTAAACCACATCTGCGCCTTTGCTAGAATTTCCTGTCTCTGTGACCAGTACCGGGTATACTTGCCAGCTATCTGGAGGTCACCTTGTTTCTTTCCCCCATCCCTTACCCTCCACGGCCAGCCAGGCACCAGATTTACCTACAAGTGTCTTCATAGCTCTTCTTTCCCATCCTCTATCTCTTTTATTTAGTTGTTCTCAGCAACTTAAAATATTTAACACAACAGAACCCAGTGCTGTGGAGGATATTTTTCTAAAATTTTCATAAAAATTTAAATTATTATCAAAGTTATATATTTACATAGTTCAAAAACCCAAATAAGCCAAAAGCTTATGTTCCTTTGCTGGCACTGGTTTCCACTCCACAGAGGCAACGATTTGGAGTCCTTTTAGCTATTCATGTTCTTAGTTTTGAATAACATGCTTAGATTGCCATTACTGTGTATTTCCATTTTACCTGTATCTTCTTATTACTGAAGATGAAACTTTGGTCTTTTATACCCCCACTCTCCAAATACACTTTCATTCACCTTTCCTCACAAAAGAGTTACATTTAACTCTTTGTGGTTTGACCAGCATGCAGTGTTTACTTCACTTAAATTATGCAGGTATTCACAGCTGAGTCCTGTAGAGTATTAAGATTAGATCTCCTTTTTATTCAGTTTTTTGTTTTCCCTGGAATTGACCATTTTTAAATGATTAAATTGTGATTTTCCACTTGCTTAGCTTTCTATGTATCTATAACTAATTGATTCCTAAAACCTTATCCAGAGTGTAGCATTTCCGTTAATCCCTTAAAATACATCAGATAGTTTATCAGTTTCATTGCTCTGCTCACTTCTTATTTTTGTATAGACTGATTGCTCCCTAAGTCTGCTGAACATCTGTCACCTTGGGATCTCCCTTTATTATCATACTCTCTCTTTACCTCTTTCTTTTGCTGAGTCTTCTGATCTTTGTAGCCTATGATTTCCTCTTTCATGTTTTTATTCTCTTATGTTAATGGCCTATATCCTCCAATAGCTTTATAAGAAAGAGAGCTTAATAAGTAAAACTTTGAGACCCTATATGTCTGAAAATGTCTTTATTCTATCTTTGAACTTTATGATAGTTTAGCTGGGTATGTTATGAATCAAAAATAATTTCCCCTCAGAATTTGAAGGCATGGCTTTACTATCTTCCACCTTCCAGTGATGTTGAGAAGTTCAATTACATTTTTAATCCCTATCTTTGTACTTTTTTTTTTGTCCAGAGAGATTTTAAGATCTTCTCTTTGATTTTAGTATTGTGAAATTTCTGTGGTATGAGTGGTTTTCATCTATTATGCAAGGTATATGGTGGCTCTCTCAAAATGAACCTTATGCCTTTCAGTTCTAGGAAATTTTCTTGAATTATTTTGTTGTTGAATGACCTTTTCCCTCTCACCCACCACTTTCTCTGAGCACCTGTTAACTGGGATATGGGTATTCCTGTACTGAATTTTTTCTTTCCTATATTTCATCTCTTTGTTTTGTTGGTATTTGGGGGGAGTTACTTAGCTTTATCTCTCAATCTTTCCATTGTATTTTTTCTACCATGTTTCCCCCAAGAGTTATTTTTGTTTCCTGAAAATTTTTTAAAACATTTTCTGTTCTTATTTATGCGTACAATTACTTCCCTTATCTTTCAGAGGATTTCAATTATAGTTCAAAAAAAGTTCTCCTGTTTCCTGCACTGTTTTCATTTCCAAAAAGTTTCTTCTAAACTATTTTTAAAGATTAAAAATCTAAAAATTAAACAAGAGTGTTTTTACTGGTTTTAGTGTTTTATGTTAGCAGCTCTTCTCAATGTTTGATGATTTATGGCTATTTATATTTAAGAATAAAGCACCAAAAAGATGATTAGAAGATACGAGTGTGAGAATGTGCTTGTCAACTGGTGGACTTCACTGTATGTGAGCTGCTGGGCTCTTTTATTAGAGATCCCAGTTGTCAGTATTTGTAAGTTTGTTCTCTTGGCCAGGTCATTCTCACTGCAGAGAAATCCTCTAATCTCCAGCTTGGAAAGAGATGGTAATAAAGATAGTTCCCAGTATCTGGAGATGTTGGCTGGAGGATTTCCTGTTGAGTATGCAGACTTTGATTAATCTGTCTGTTTTTAGTACAGTATCTTCTCCCTCAGGTACACCTGGTATTCCTAGGCCTAGAGTCCTTCTTCTTCAATCTCTCCAGAGGATAAGCTTCTAGTCTACCACTGGAGAAGAGCAGGATAGTAGCCTGACTGCATGGGGTAGTGGAGAGGAACTGAGGGTCTAACTGCTTCTTGTATAGATCATCAACCCACCCCCTTCTTTTCAGCCCCATGTACATGCCTGCTTTTGGTGGGTGGCTCCAATGCCTGAGCCATTCTGAGGTTCTTCAGTGCAGTTGATGGGGCTTCTTCACTGTGTGCTTGGATTTTAGCTTTCTCTGCTCTGCTAAGTCAGTTGTCATCTATTCTACATTTTAGCTCTAAAACTTTGCTGTCACCTCCTTTCCCGTTCTCTTTGCCCTAGTGTGTTTATGGTTTAAAAAAAATCTCTTTGCTGATATTTTTGAGAGCTTTAGAGGGAGTGATAGTAAGTCCTGTGTTCAACCCACCATGTTTAATCACAGGTCTGTGTCTTCCTCTTCAACCCCTCCCTACCCCTGCTCTACTTCAGTCCTTATGTCTGCTCTCCCTAAATATCATAAGGGTTCCTAACTAGTGTTTCTGCCTCTCAACAGACCACCCCAACTCCAGCCAGTCTTTCTGCAACTCTGTCCTTCACAAGCTGCACACACTTGAACTACTTGTTTTTCCTCCAGTGTCTTATTCTCTCAAGACTATTTGCTTTTGCACATGCTCTTCCCTGCTGCGGCCATTCTTCCATTCTATGTCCACATGAAAAGTACTTCTATATCCTTCAAGTCTCGTATCAAGCACCACTTCTTCTGGGAAATCTTCCTGGCTTTCCCAAACAGAGAAATGAGCTTGCTCCTCCATTCTCTCTGCTACCTCCTGTGGGCTCTTTTTACATGGGATGAGATTTACCAGTTGAGGGCCTCACCTCCCACCTGCACTATAAACTCCCTAAGGACAGGACTATGAACTTCATTTTTTATTTCTTACCAACCAGTGCCTTGTCTGGCATAAAACAGGAAAATAAATAATACCCACTGAATAAGTGATAGTGTGCTTTATTTTCCCCCACCAGAACGAACACTTAGCTCCTCAGAGCAACTGAATTAGAGAAAAATCTACATTGGCTAATTCTAAAACCCAGATATGTCTTGTACTTGCTTTCAAGTATAGAGAGTGAAATTCCATCAACTCCTTCTCATAGGTTATATATCCTTCAAAGACTCTATCAGAATGATTTATATTTAGTATATTGATCACCAGCCCAAGTAGTAGCTTATTCTATGTTGTTTGAATGCAAATGATGGCTGTGCAGTGCTAGAAAATAAATTATTTCTCTAAACTAGGGAAACATTTCCCTTACAATTTGATTTCAGTATTAATTTTCAGCAAAGACTTATTCATGGGCAGTATAAATAAATACATGAAGAATAAGAAAGCAAATCCAACCTTAGGTGGGAATAAATACTGCCTCACCTCACCTATGATTGTGCAAGGTACGCAAACCATCACAGTTTGCCCGCCCTGGTGCCATTCCCTCACATTTGACTTCTCTTGCTGTATAAACTGCAAAGTGCTAATACATATTTGGTGTTTTCTCAAAGACCATTTGTTGTATTCTTGTAAAATCTGTGTAAAAAGCAAGATGGTGTGTCTACCCAGATTCTAAAAATAAGGAGAGTCTGAGAGGTGGGGTGGCCTTGCCTAGTGTCTAGGCAGTTGGTAGCCCAGCTGTCCCCCAGGGCCTGTGCCATGGCCCCCCCGCTCTTGCAGCCAAAGCTCTGGCATGGCTCACAGTCATGAACTTAAACACAAGGCAGCGCTACATCACTCACCATGACTGTGTACTCCGTCTGGGCTCGGATGGCATCCTTCAGGAGCAGCAGCTTATCTGAATCCTGTAAACAGACCAGAGATGTAGCACAAGGGCCTAAAGGGGCTGCATAATGACGAATGAGCCAAAGGGGCTGGTTGTCACAGAGCCAAGCGGATGGGCAGCCCACTGCTGCCTCCCTGGGACTCTTTAGATAAAGGACTTACCAGTACATCAGCCTTGTGGTCAGTGACGGCTTTCGCAAAGCTCAGTGCTTCTGGGGTTGCTGAACGAATGTTATCCACCCGGCCCTCCTGGAATCGGCGGATGGATGCGCTTTCATAGGTGGGCACCAGTCTCCTGTGGAGCCTGCAGAAGACCAAGGGTGAATGGCAAACGGTGAGGCATTAGGCTGGGGGCAGGACACTCATTCTATGTCTTTCCAGCTTGAGGCTGCATGTGCAGTCTGTGCAGTCTGCACATTGGTTTTGTTTGGATTACATGTATATTTGGGGCAATTTGGGGGTTGATGAAGACATGGGGGGCCACCTCTGGCCTGTAGCAATAACCTTCAGTTCAACATCAGGATAATTGGGAGTAATTCTTGTGTGTCGAGGGGTTGTCTCACAATTACATAAGATAGCCACTTAGATGTTAAAACCCCTCATAGCAAGAAACTTCCCATCACAATGAACTTTGTTCAAGCTTACAAGGCATGATTTGGGATTTGACAGCAGTTCTCTTTCCATTGAGAACAAATGCGTAAAGATGACTCAGAGGGCCCAGTCTCTCCAAATGCACCTATTTATAGGCTGAAAAAAACGTGTAGAAAACCACAGCTCACTTTAGATGTGTCCCGTTAGGAGAGAGAGAACTATAAGCCCATCTCTGAAATAGAGCGCACTGTTAATTTCTCTGGTTACCTCTGTTTAATTGCTGATTTGTGTAGCTCTATGGAAGCAGCTGCTCTGTACAGCAGCCAACCCACCCATTTTCACCATCTCTGAACTCACTTTAGCAGTTGCAGTTGATTTAACAGATTGTTTGCATTAAAGCCACGAACAGTAATGGGTAAAATGACTCATCACTCTTTCTTTCATTCAGGGAATCTTGAGTGCCTACTATGTGCTGGCACTGCTAGGTGCCGGAGCAATAACAGAGAATGAAGTAGTCATAGACTCACATGTGGTGGGAGGCAGATATTAACCAACAGTACAAATAAACTTATGATCATAAACCAAGGTAAGTGTTATGAAGGAAAGGCATCAGGTACCGTGAGAGTATGTGATGGGTGGGTCTAAACCACATCTGCGCCTTTGCTAGAATTTCCTGTCTCTGTGACCAGTACCGGGTATACTTGCCAGCTATCTGGAGGTCACCTTGTTTCTTTCCCCCATCCCTTACCCTCCACGGCCAGCCAGGCACCAGATTTACCTACAAGTGTCTTCATAGCTCTTCTTTCCCATCCTCTATCTCTTTTATTTAGTTGTTCTCAGCAACTTAAAATATTTAACACAACAGAACCCAGTGCTGTGGAGGATATTTTTCTAAAATTTTCATAAAAATTTAAATTATTATCAAAGTTATATATTTACATAGTTCAAAAACCCAAATAAGCCAAAAGCTTATGTTCCTTTGCTGGCACTGGTTTCCACTCCACAGAGGCAACGATTTGGAGTCCTTTTAGCTATTCATGTTCTTAGTTTTGAATAACATGCTTAGATTGCCATTACTGTGTATTTCCATTTTACCTGTATCTTCTTATTACTGAAGATGAAACTTTGGTCTTTTATACCCCCACTCTCCAAATACACTTTCATTCACCTTTCCTCACAAAAGAGTTACATTTAACTCTTTGTGGTTTGACCAGCATGCAGTGTTTACTTCACTTAAATTATGCAGGTATTCACAGCTGAGTCCTGTAGAGTATTAAGATTAGATCTCCTTTTTATTCAGTTTTTTGTTTTCCCTGGAATTGACCATTTTTAAATGATTAAATTGTGATTTTCCACTTGCTTAGCTTTCTATGTATCTATAACTAATTGATTCCTAAAACCTTATCCAGAGTGTAGCATTTCCGTTAATCCCTTAAAATACATCAGATAGTTTATCAGTTTCATTGCTCTGCTCACTTCTTATTTTTGTATAGACTGATTGCTCCCTAAGTCTGCTGAACATCTGTCACCTTGGGATCTCCCTTTATTATCATACTCTCTCTTTACCTCTTTCTTTTGCTGAGTCTTCTGATCTTTGTAGCCTATGATTTCCTCTTTCATGTTTTTATTCTCTTATGTTAATGGCCTATATCCTCCAATAGCTTTATAAGAAAGAGAGCTTAATAAGTAAAACTTTGAGACCCTATATGTCTGAAAATGTCTTTATTCTATCTTTGAACTTTATGATAGTTTAGCTGGGTATGTTATGAATCAAAAATAATTTCCCCTCAGAATTTGAAGGCATGGCTTTACTATCTTCCACCTTCCAGTGATGTTGAGAAGTTCAATTACATTTTTAATCCCTATCTTTGTACTTTTTTTTTTGTCCAGAGAGATTTTAAGATCTTCTCTTTGATTTTAGTATTGTGAAATTTCTGTGGTATGAGTGGTTTTCATCTATTATGCAAGGTATATGGTGGCTCTCTCAAAATGAACCTTATGCCTTTCAGTTCTAGGAAATTTTCTTGAATTATTTTGTTGTTGAATGACCTTTTCCCTCTCACCCACCACTTTCTCTGAGCACCTGTTAACTGGGATATGGGTATTCCTGTACTGAATTTTTTCTTTCCTATATTTCATCTCTTTGTTTTGTTGGTATTTGGGGGGAGTTACTTAGCTTTATCTCTCAATCTTTCCATTGTATTTTTTCTACCATGTTTCCCCCAAGAGTTATTTTTGTTTCCTGAAAATTTTTTAAAACATTTTCTGTTCTTATTTATGCGTACAATTACTTCCCTTATCTTTCAGAGGATTTCAATTATAGTTCAAAAAAAGTTCTCCTGTTTCCTGCACTGTTTTCATTTCCAAAAAGTTTCTTCTAAACTATTTTTAAAGATTAAAAATCTAAAAATTAAACAAGAGTGTTTTTACTGGTTTTAGTGTTTTATGTTAGCAGCTCTTCTCAATGTTTGATGATTTATGGCTATTTATATTTAAGAATAAAGCACCAAAAAGATGATTAGAAGATACGAGTGTGAGAATGTGCTTGTCAACTGGTGGACTTCACTGTATGTGAGCTGCTGGGCTCTTTTATTAGAGATCCCAGTTGTCAGTATTTGTAAGTTTGTTCTCTTGGCCAGGTCATTCTCACTGCAGAGAAATCCTCTAATCTCCAGCTTGGAAAGAGATGGTAATAAAGATAGTTCCCAGTATCTGGAGATGTTGGCTGGAGGATTTCCTGTTGAGTATGCAGACTTTGATTAATCTGTCTGTTTTTAGTACAGTATCTTCTCCCTCAGGTACACCTGGTATTCCTAGGCCTAGAGTCCTTCTTCTTCAATCTCTCCAGAGGATAAGCTTCTAGTCTACCACTGGAGAAGAGCAGGATAGTAGCCTGACTGCATGGGGTAGTGGAGAGGAACTGAGGGTCTAACTGCTTCTTGTATAGATCATCAACCCACCCCCTTCTTTTCAGCCCCATGTACATGCCTGCTTTTGGTGGGTGGCTCCAATGCCTGAGCCATTCTGAGGTTCTTCAGTGCAGTTGATGGGGCTTCTTCACTGTGTGCTTGGATTTTAGCTTTCTCTGCTCTGCTAAGTCAGTTGTCATCTATTCTACATTTTAGCTCTAAAACTTTGCTGTCACCTCCTTTCCCGTTCTCTTTGCCCTAGTGTGTTTATGGTTTAAAAAAAATCTCTTTGCTGATATTTTTGAGAGCTTTAGAGGGAGTGATAGTAAGTCCTGTGTTCAACCCACCATGTTTAATCACAGGTCTGTGTCTTCCTCTTCAACCCCTCCCTACCCCTGCTCTACTTCAGTCCTTATGTCTGCTCTCCCTAAATATCATAAGGGTTCCTAACTAGTGTTTCTGCCTCTCAACAGACCACCCCAACTCCAGCCAGTCTTTCTGCAACTCTGTCCTTCACAAGCTGCACACACTTGAACTACTTGTTTTTCCTCCAGTGTCTTATTCTCTCAAGACTATTTGCTTTTGCACATGCTCTTCCCTGCTGCGGCCATTCTTCCATTCTATGTCCACATGAAAAGTACTTCTATATCCTTCAAGTCTCGTATCAAGCACCACTTCTTCTGGGAAATCTTCCTGGCTTTCCCAAACAGAGAAATGAGCTTGCTCCTCCATTCTCTCTGCTACCTCCTGTGGGCTCTTTTTACATGGGATGAGATTTACCAGTTGAGGGCCTCACCTCCCACCTGCACTATAAACTCCCTAAGGACAGGACTATGAACTTCATTTTTTATTTCTTACCAACCAGTGCCTTGTCTGGCATAAAACAGGAAAATAAATAATACCCACTGAATAAGTGATAGTGTGCTTTATTTTCCCCCACCAGAACGAACACTTAGCTCCTCAGAGCAACTGAATTAGAGAAAAATCTACATTGGCTAATTCTAAAACCCAGATATGTCTTGTACTTGCTTTCAAGTATAGAGAGTGAAATTCCATCAACTCCTTCTCATAGGTTATATATCCTTCAAAGACTCTATCAGAATGATTTATATTTAGTATATTGATCACCAGCCCAAGTAGTAGCTTATTCTATGTTGTTTGAATGCAAATGATGGCTGTGCAGTGCTAGAAAATAAATTATTTCTCTAAACTAGGGAAACATTTCCCTTACAATTTGATTTCAGTATTAATTTTCAGCAAAGACTTATTCATGGGCAGTATAAATAAATACATGAAGAATAAGAAAGCAAATCCAACCTTAGGTGGGAATAAATACTGCCTCACCTCACCTATGATTGTGCAAGGTACGCAAACCATCACAGTTTGCCCGCCCTGGTGCCATTCCCTCACATTTGACTTCTCTTGCTGTATAAACTGCAAAGTGCTAATACATATTTGGTGTTTTCTCAAAGACCATTTGTTGTATTCTTGTAAAATCTGTGTAAAAAGCAAGATGGTGTGTCTACCCAGATTCTAAAAATAAGGAGAGTCTGAGAGGTGGGGTGGCCTTGCCTAGTGTCTAGGCAGTTGGTAGCCCAGCTGTCCCCCAGGGCCTGTGCCATGGCCCCCCCGCTCTTGCAGCCAAAGCTCTGGCATGGCTCACAGTCATGAACTTAAACACAAGGCAGCGCTACATCACTCACCATGACTGTGTACTCCGTCTGGGCTCGGATGGCATCCTTCAGGAGCAGCAGCTTATCTGAATCCTGTAAACAGACCAGAGATGTAGCACAAGGGCCTAAAGGGGCTGCATAATGACGAATGAGCCAAAGGGGCTGGTTGTCACAGAGCCAAGCGGATGGGCAGCCCACTGCTGCCTCCCTGGGACTCTTTAGATAAAGGACTTACCAGTACATCAGCCTTGTGGTCAGTGATGGCTTTCGCAAAGCTCAGTGCTTCTGGGGTTGCTGAACGAATGTTATCCACCCGGCCCTCCTGGAATCGGCGGATGGATGCGCTTTCATAGGTGGGCACCAGTCTCCTGTGGAGCCTGCAGAAGACCAAGGGTGAATGGCAAACGGTGAGGCATTCTCAGGGAATCATAAACACCGAAAGACGAATAGCCTCAGCAGGCGTTATTTGTACAGCCCTGACTTTACTCGGCATTGTATTTCATTTTAATGTTAATAGAATTCTGGAGGAGATTTCCCAGGGATGAGCGTCAGGGAGGCTCTAATATGAAAAGTTATGTTTACTTTCATACACTGGTGATATTGCATTAATATAAAATAAAGAAGGGATTGGTTGCTTTAAAAAAATATCCTGATCTGGTGGGAAATGTAACATTTTCTGCCAGACCTGATCAGTGTTTGATTAATAGCACAGAATGGAATAACTGTGTAATTAATCATTCACACCCTTGAGGGAATCCTGTTTTATTTAAAGTAATTCAAGCATGACCTATGGATGGAGGCTGGGAGGGGCTTAGTGGTTATGGGTGTAAATTGCTTCATAGGCCTCCTTGCCTGGGGCAGCTGGGCTTCCAAAGCCCACAGGACCATGGCTGCACCTCTCCTCCCTGATGCCTGTTACCTGAGCAGCAGTGGCCACGTCCGCCACCAGCCAGGCAATTTTTTCCTTAGGCACCAAGTGAGCAGGCCTGGGCTTGCGCACCTGGCTGGCCACACCTTTCTCACTAGTCAATAAAGTCCTTGGTGTTGGAGGTGGGGAGGAGTTACAGAAGTCCCCGAGGGGCAGTGAACCCCTAAAGTCAAAGCCAGTCAGAGCCCTGCACCTTGGTCTTTTCTGGGCTTGTCCCTCCCTCACTGGCTGGGCTCCGGGGAGCAAAGGCCGAGTCTGATTCTGCACAGTGCTTGGCATTGTACTGCTTGGTGAGAAGGTGAGTAAATCTTCTGTACACTTTTGTCTCATTTCTCCCAAAGAGAACAGACTCTGGCAGGGGGGCTGCATCTCTAGGGCCCCTGGAGGCAAACACCAGGCCAAGGCATGAAAGTAGATGTCATTGCTAGCTGGTCACTGGTCAACCCCACTTAAGGCAGGTTTCAGGTTTTCTGTTGAATCTAGGTGCAGATTATAAAGATCTTTTTGGTTATGGCTTAGACTCTGAAGAACATTCTCTTTGGGAAGAAGATCACATTTTGGCTATTCAGTGAGCCCAGGTGTCTTAGGCCATGCCCATTCCTGACCCTGTGCAGTGATGGCAGAGATCCCTGGGCAGCAGAGGATGGGCGTGCTCTGTGCAGGTCCAGCAGCCCCTTTCAGCTTTGGATCTGAAGCTCTGAATTTCCCTCTGGGTGATGTCTCCAGTCGTGGCCCCAGAGGGACCCTGACCTCATGGCCCATTTCAGCCACATACCAGTATCAACTGTCAGGTCCTGCCACAGCTCAATGTCATCAAGGTCTCTGTCCTGGCAATAAGCACAGACCTCGTGGGGTGACATCAGCTGTCCCCCAGAAGTCCTCACAGGATGGATGCTCAGAGCAGCTTCACTCCTTTCCTGATGAGTTACGGCCCCTCGGGGAACACTGGGATCTTGGATGCTGTGTCCACATAGGTGCTGCCTGCTCATTAATGAGACCTAGTGCCACCTTTATTGAGAGGTTACTTTATGCTCCCCTTGGATGTTGCAAACTGAAAGCAGGTCCCAGTGGGGGTAGAGCTCTTCACTGGCCATGCCAGTTTATTTACTTTTGCTTCTGGAATGCTGGGGCCAACAGGAGTTAGCTCTGTCGTGAGGAAAATGTACTTTGCATTTCAGATTTTGCCTCCTTTAAAAGGCCAGCTGGGCTCCATACCCTGCTTTCAACACTTCCTCCCTATTTTTCACCCTTCCCACACAGAACTACCACTAACTACAGAGATTTTTCTCAGCCATAGACCTGACTGTGCCATCCCCACTAAAACTCCTGTAGTGTCTTCTCAAGTCTGCAACTCAGTCCCTGCGGTCCACTCTGTGCCAGGTCTGCAAGATGCCCAGGGTGGCATGCTTGGGGGAGACCATCTAGAAAACAAAGTCAATGAGCCAACCAACAAGGTTGTTCACATGAATAACAACTGTCATGAGAGGAACAGAGGATAGGATGTGGAATGATAGAGAAGTGAGTGGCAAGGGGGCCCGAGGAGGCTGCTGTAGATAAGAGGTCAGGAGAGACCTCTAAAGGCTGACGCTAACTGAGACCTGAACTTGGGAGGAAGCTGTTATGTGAAGAGTGGTGGTGATGGGCCGGTGGACAGAGGCCCGGCCAGACCAGAGGTCTGGAGACAGAGAGAGCTTGGAGAGGACCCCAGGAGAGGCCAGTTCCCAGGAAGACTTTCTAAGCTTGGACTTAGTATTCTAAGTGGTGGGAAGCCATTGGGAAGGTTCACAGTGGCAAGTGGTAGAATCTGATTTCCACTTTCAAAGTTCATGCTTCATGAGACAGCATTACAGTGGGCGAGAGTGGAAGCAGAGACCCCTGGGGGACATGTTCAAGTCAGCTGAGCACAAGATGACAGGGGCTTGAGAGGGACTGAGGGGGATGGGTTTGACAGACATTTGGAGAGCCAACATGGGGATGTGGGGGATGAGCGGCAGAAACAAATCAAGGATGGGCCCAGAGTCTTTGGCTGAACCCATTGTAAGGATGCTGATTCCATTTCCTTATCTAAATCAAGAGAACTGGGGTAAACAGGTCACAGCTACGGAGGCCCATGTGGGTGGGATGAGGTTGAAGGAGGAACTGAGGACCCACGTGCCTGCCTGCCCTGCGGGCCTCTGCTCCTGGGCCATTGCTCAGGACAATTTCCTCGCTGTGACATCCTTTTTTCTCCTTTCTGAGGTTGCTTCACACTTTGAAACCAAGCTCCTTCCATGCAGACTGCCTTGGCCTCCCCAGTTCTTGAGGCCCACAGGTCAGCCCTCCCTCCACTTGTCTGGAGTGGCTGGTGAGTCAGTCCATATGGTCAAGAGCTGTTCTGCCGGCCAGCTTTGCTCACCTGTAGAAGGCCAGCTGGAGGGCCACCTGAATGAAGGCATCGGGGCTGCATTTCTGCTTTTTAATGAATGTTTTCCCATAGTTGTCAAACTTATAAACAGTGAAGTCAAGATTCTTTACTATTCTGCAGAAGAAAAAGAAACAGTGCTAGTTTTGCATATAAAATAGAACACATGCACAGAGTCTAACCAGGTTTCTTGAGGCTGGTCTATGTCCCAGTGCTCAGGGAGTTGAGAATACAGTTCCTGGCTGCCAGGAATGTGGTGGGGTGACAGACAGACCTTAACATATGGAAATGACCAGGCACTCTGAGCTGAAAGTGAGGCTTGGCCAGGCATGGTGGTGGCCCTGCTCTGGAGGTGAGGAGGTGGGCCTGGCTGCAGGGAGGGGCATAGGGGCACAAGAGACATTTGCATGGGTAGGGAGAACACTGCCCACAAACAAAATTCCAGAAGCCCACTGTCCACAGAAGTAGGCCAGAAAGAGGCCATTATTTGACCCTGTGGGGAAAGTGTTCCTGGCATCCCTCTAGGTACTTTTGGAATCTTGGCCATCCTGCCAGACATAGCAAACCCCCTTGGTCCAGGGAAAATCCTGCTTCTCAGATGGCTGCAAGCCTGTCTGTTCATCAAGACTCACCCCTTCTGTGCTTTAAGAAGAAAAGCCTGTGGCCTGGCCCCTGGTCATGGTCAACACAGTAAGGGCTGCTTGACTGGGATTTCCACCTCAGTGACTGAAACCCATGTTAGCCAGAAACTACTGCTGAGTGTCCCACGACACACGCAGGACATGCCCATAATCATGTCACAGTAACAGGAAGATTGATTCTGGGTTTACACTGAGACGCTTGAGCACTGGTCTCCCCCCACCAATACTGGCCAGTCTTCTTTATAACAAGTTTGAGGTCTAGGCTGACTGCTTGCTGGAGCAGTGCCTGGCAAGGTCCACACCATCTGTCCACCAGCTGTGTGTGAGCACAGAGCCCTGGGGGGGCAACCCCAACCTGCCACTCACATACATTCTCTCAGGACTCAGAAATTCCTTGCCTGACCCCCTTGAATTATTCCTCCTGCCTCATGTGAGCTCAGCTCTTGGTGGGGCTGTGCCAGGTTCTAGGGTCCCGGGGGGAATCATTACTCAGTCCAGCCTCTAGATCCACTGTCCCCAGATGGACTGAGCTCATGGTCACGACAGCCATCTGGAAACGTCTTGCCCAAGTGCTGCCTACTCAGACCCTACTCCCTTCCCCTGCAGTTTGGGAGGCTGCCTGAGCTCCTGCTTTCCCACCCTGGCTCTCCCCTCTGGAGAGAGAGCCTTGGGGTCACATGGGACCTGCCCAATTCTCTGAAAGTGAACGGGCACCTTCCTCCATACAGGGCTCACCAGCCCACCAACTCACTTTCCCCATGGCCTGTTTATCCCAAGAACCAGCCCCTAAGGTTGAGATAGCCACATCATTTTATAGATGAACATGGAGGCCTCTCCTATGTCCTGCTGGATCCAGTCAGCCTCACAGCAACTCAAACAGAACCTGACTTCCCCAGCCTCCAAGATCAGTCACACTCTGTCCTGTTCATCTGTGCTATTCCCAAACTCTCCTCACTGGCTCTGCTTGCTAGAGCAGTGCCTGGTGACGTCCGGAGCCTTGGGCTTGAGCCTCTGAGCCTCACTGTGTACAGTCTTCCAGAGACTCCTCACTGCTGCAGGACAGCCTCCAGGACCCAGAAAATAAGTGAAGCTCTTCACAGTGTGGCCTTAATTTCCCTTCAGTGCCCCAATTCTGATCATTCTCTCACTTGCTGGTCTCCAAACCATCCTGTTCTGAATAGCTTGGATCATTTATGAACCTATACAAGCTTGAATAAGCTACCTTTCTGCCTCTTCCCCAGCTGCCTGCACCATGAACTCCTATCCATCCCTCAAGGCCCATCTTTACAAAGCCTTCTCTCAATGTCCTGGCAGAATTCAGCTCCCATGCCCTCTGTGAGTTGAGGTCTCTATGCCTCTCTCTGGTTTCGACATGTACTGTGTGCCACACGTTTTGGTTTGGGGTTCCACTTCCTTCACTAAAATGTGGAGGGCAGGCCCTATGGCATATCAGAGCCTTACCACAGGCCTGGCACACACTAGAGCTCTCTCACACTGATGAACGAATGAAGGAATGAATGCATACATGCTCACTTACTGCATGAGGGAATAAATAACCAAGGTCCAGAGCTAGTTGCCAGTCCAAGGCTCCAGACCAGCCTTGACCCTACTCCAACACTAACCACCCAGAGGGAGCCACACCCGCCCTGGTCCTCCTACCAGGGTCCCCTCAGGGCCTGAACTGCCTCTCTCCCCCTGGGGAAGAAGAGGGCTGGCCCCTTTGTCAAGTTGCAGTGTAAATTCAAGCAAATTGATAGAGTTGGGATTCAAATTATCTATTCAAACCAGTTGTTTATTATCCCTCCCGAAAGTAGAGGATGATTTCCCCACCTTGACTCTGCTCAGTCAGGTGGAACCTGTGAAAAAATATAACTCCATGTTTGCATTTTATGAAAATGATAGCTACTTCAGCAAGGTTATTTCCCGGAGAGTTAGAACTCCCCTTTAGTTTGCCTGTATTTCCATGAGGGGGTGGGGAGCAGAGGTGGGAGAGGGGAGGCAGAGGATCTGAGGTCTTTGGAAACTTCTAGGGTGCCTCATCATCAGATGAGGAAAGGATGGGGGTACAGGTGGGCACCCTGAAGGAACTTGGCCTTTTCCTTACCGTTGCAGTTTTTCTGCTGAGGAAGCTAAGAGGCCTTGGATTTCTGGGGAGCATTTCCACCTTAGCCTCCTGGGGGCTGGGAGCTCACTGACAGAGTCAGCTCGGACAAGCTTCTTGCTGTTCTTCATCCTGCAGGCAATGCAAAGAAGCAGCCTCTGCAGCCTGGCGAGCTGGAGGGCCTGGGAGGCATGGTTCTTTGTTCTTTGCTGTCATTTTAGCTGTTGGAGTTTCAGTGGGTATGAGCTGCCCTGTATCCCTGAACCATTGCACAGATGAATAGACTAACGCCCAGGGAGGCCACCCAAATTAGTGAGTAGCAGAGCCAGATTTCCATCCAGATCTGTCTGACTCCAAAGACCAGTATTTCTTTTCCTGACTATGTTACACTTGGAGAGATGAAAATACAATGGGGAAAATACAGTTTCTTCAATAAATGGTGTTGGGAAAACTGGACAGCTACATGCAAGAGAATGAAACTGGATCATTCCCTAACACCATACACAAAAGTAAATTCAAAATAGATTAAAGACCTAAATGTTAAGACATAAAACCATGAAACTCTGAGAAGAAAACATAGGCAAAATCTCTTGAATATAAGCATGAGCAATTTTTTCTGGACATGTCTCCTTCGGCAAGGGAAACAAAAGTAAAATAAACAAATGGGACTACATCAAATTAAAAAGCTTCTGTACAGCAAAGAACACCATCAACAGAACAAAAAGGCATCCTACAGCATGGGAGAATATATTCATAAATGATTTATCAATAAAGGGTTAATAGCCAAACTATATAAGGAATTCATATGACTCAACACCAAATAACAATAATAATAATAATAAAACAATTAAAAAATGGGCAGAGGACCTGAACAGATATTTCACCAAAGAAAAAATTCTCCAGAGAAGAAATTCAAATGGCCAACAGGCACATGAAAAGATGCTCCACATCGCTAATTATCAGGAGAATGCAAATCAAAACCACACTGAGATATCACCTCACACCTCACACCTGTTAGAAGGGCCACTGTCCAAAAGACAAGAAATAACAAGTGTTAGAGAGGATGTGGAGAAAAGGGAACTTGGTGCAGTCACTGTGGAAAGCAATACGGAGGTTCCTCAAAAAACTAAAAATAGAAATATGATATGACCCAGTAACTCCACTTCTAGGAATTTACCCAAAGAAAACAAAATCTCTGATTTGAAAAGATACATGAATTCCTATGTTTATTGCCACATTATTTACAATAGCCAATATATGGAAGCAACTCAAGCGTCTGCCAATAGATGAAGGCATAAAATGTAGTACATATATGCAATGGAATGTTATTCAGCTATAGAAAGAAAGAAATCCTGTCATTTGTGACAACATGGATGGACCTAGAGGGTATGATGCTAAGTGAAAAAAGTCAGGTGGAAGAAAACAAGTACCATATGATTTCACTTATATGTGGAATATAAAAGCAAAACAAAACAAAATGAACAGATAGCAGTAGACTCATAGACACTGAGAAGTGACTGGTGGTTACTGGAGGGGAGGGACTGGAAGGGGTGGGTGAAATAAGTGAAGGGATAAAGAGGCACTAAGTCTCAATCAGTATCAATTAGTCATGGAGACGAGTACAGCACAGAGAATATAGTCAATAGTTCTGGAATATATTCTATGTTGACAGATAGTAACTACAGTAGTTGGGTGAGGATTAATAACATAGATAACTGTGAAATCACTGTGTCATATACTTGAATTGATATAATATTATATATCAACTATACTTTACACTTCATTCTTCAAAAAAAACCACACATATATAAAATAGGTTAGTTTGGGTTTTCAGTTGGTGCTCAACTGTCTGGCATTGCCTCCCAGGGCCCCTCTGGAGGGGCCTTGCCCTCAGACTCACATGTGCTTCAGCAGGTGCTCCGCACACTGCACCAGGACAATGCCATCAAATGGAGAGTGTTCACACACCACACCGCAGGTGCCGTCTCGGCCCACCACAAACTGTATTAAGAAAGAGAGGTGAGTGGACTGCTGGTAGAGCCAGCATTTTAAACCAGCCCCTTGGCTGGAAGCCAGTCCCCCTGCTCCAGCCCCAGCCTCTCAGGGTGACCTCTCCTCCAAGGACATCAAAGCACGTCAATCTCTGGAAAAAAATGCTGCACCCATTGCCATGGCCTGAGAATATGGAAGCCTCAGGGCAGCTCTAAGCTGTGTGACCTCCTTCCCAGAAATGCTCTGGGCTGTGCCTAAAGGTCTCTGGCTGAAGTAGCCCAGTGAGTGCTAAGAGCTCACTGTGGCTGAGGCTGTTCACACTCCCCTCAAGCAAGTTCCTTTGGCTTCTGTTATCTGCATTGAGTGTCAGGGCCACCACCTGCACTGCCTTATGTGATTAAGTGTCTGATAACCCTGTGTCTTTGACCACCATTGATTTTATTCCCAAGATTTAGACCAGTGTCCACCCCACAGCAGGTGCTAGTAATTTTGTTGAACAAGAGAATGAAAGATAGCTATCCAGTTTGGATGGTGTGGAGATTCTCAGGGAGAAATGAAATACCCCTCAATGCGAGTGAAGGAAAAGTATAGTGAGAGGTTCCCTGTGAACTGCTTCCTGACTTTTGAGTCAAGGACGTGGAGTCCAGTTCGGCCACCTGCCAGCTGGGAGAGCTTTGACCAGACGCTTCACCTCTCTGGCTTCAGTTTACTCTCAGCTAAGATGGATCCGATAAGGGCCGGTTGACAGGATGGATATGAGGGTGAGAAGGAAGGTATATGAAAGGTCCACAGAAACTATAAAGATTACTTGGGATTTTTTATGCCTTTTCCAAGGTTGTATTTAGCTGACTTGGAAAAGAGATGTACTCAATCTCCATAAAAGTACTGGGAGAAAATTATGAGCAGAATAAGATTTGAATCTTCAAGTGTAACCCACACAGAGTGGGGCTGCCTGGTAGCCTGTCTCAGCACATCACACTCGAGAGATACCAGTCCACCATCCATAAACAAATAAATAAGCAAACAAGCAAATAAGCAAACTGTTGAAGTCTTTGCTGAGACTCTTCCAGGGCACCGTAACACATAACACACATCCAGCTGACTCTCTCCACGTTTCCCCCCAGTCTCTCATACTACAGCAGTTGCCTGAATCTTTACTCCCATTCTTCAAATAAACAAACCTCTAGCAGTTTCAAAACTCATTCTCTCTCCTCTCTCATCCAGTGTCCCCAGCCTTTCTGTCCCGAAACTAGCTCTCAGTCCTCTCAGTTCAAATCCATGGAGCCTGTTCAGCTTCTCCAGCTCACCTGATCATGGCTTCAAAAAGAGCCCAAGCAGGGCATGGTCACCCCTGCATGGGGGAGGGAGGGCTGCACCCACTCATGTATGAATGCTTTTCTGTCCTATCCCTAAAGGAAAAGGAGGAAAACAGTGCCTTTTAAAAACTGCTCCTAAAGTTCACTGTTTCAGGTCCTGGCCATCCATTATATAATTTCATTCCCGCAGCCACTCCATGAAAGATTACAAGCCATTAGCGCCACTGGTGGAAGCTCAAACAGCACCACAGCAAGAGAGCTCATCAGAAAGAGCAGAATCAAGATGCGAACCAATAAAAAGGATAACCTGCAGAATATAGGGGACAGAAAAATGACATGTTGCCTAGGAATATTTATCACTGTGAATGATGCTAACCCAGACTGTAGAGACAGTAGGTTGCTATTTATTATGGTCATTGTGAAAGTGTGGTGGCTTTCAAAATAAACAAGATTAGATTCAGGATGGGCAGAGTGGGGGAAAAAGGATGGGGAACAGGAATGGATGGCCCAACCTTGGCTTCATTGCACCTGCATGAGTATTTTTCTCCAGGCCAAAGTGAATGGGCTGATGTCATGTGAATGAAAAATACATGAATTGTTCTGTTTCATTTAATGACTTTTCTTCTGTGGAGATGCTGGGCTGCCTTACTTCTGAGGCATAGAGGGAGGTGTGTTGAAATGACCCCGCCTGGGTGATGGAGATTCAGAAAAGCTGATGTGTCTGGGTGGCAGAATGATTCTTGCTCTATGTGTGAGGATTTGCCCAGTGGAGCCCCTGGCATGCCCCCACCATTCAGTGTGTGCCAGGAGGTGGGAAGTGAGCCCAGGTCTGACTCAGAGCCCCTACAGGCCTGGCACAGGCTACAGGAAGTCAGGGAGTTTGAGATGTGTTTGGCCCCCTGCTCCTGAGAAGAGCTCTGGCCAGTGCAGTGGCTGACACCAGTGCCACATCTCCAGCCCTTCAACAACCTCGGCCCTGGATGCAGCATCCCTGGCAGCAGAGGCCAGTGAGTAAGCCTCAGGCCACAGGCCATGCTGTGCGGGAGGTTTACCTGCAGGGACTTGTCATACCAGCGGTTCGCCCCATTCCTGCCATAGCCTCCACCATGAAGGAGCTGGAGTGCCCTGTTGGTGTCGCTGAGTTCCACACCTCCGGGAACGTCCAGGCACACCAGGCAGATGCAGCGCTCGATCATGTCCAGTGAGTCCCGGTTGGTGGAGTCTGCAGGGCAGGAGAGCAAGGGCTTAACACAAGCCCTGCCCCGAGCGTGGGGTTCCCTCTCCAGAGCCCCATACACCACATGAAGACACACACACAGACATTCAGATCTTGAGGCAGCCCTGACCTCTCCCACTACTCCAGTGGGTGGGCCATGAAATCAGCCAGACTGTCCTGATCCTCTGTGCCAACCCTAGGGGCCAGCTCACCCTCGCGTCCCTTCAAGTGTCCCACACTCCAGCTGCAGTCAGTTGTGCCTCCAGATGTATGGTCACTGGGCCTGCTTGCCAGGGTAAGGGGGCTTATTTGGGGCCTTCACCATGGATGTTAGACCCCCAGGCCAGCTGGCACCTAGGGAGGAGCTCCAGGTCTCCCATCCAACAGCAACCCCACTCTGGCACCCAAGAACCACAGTTGGCACATAGGCCTGTTTATTTGTCCTGAACTAGGATTTTCAAACATTAGTTACTGAATTTTAAATTAGTCAATATCCTATGAAAATCTGAAATAAAGGAGTAAGGGTGTTGCATTCCCCACCCCCTGCCACCGAGCAGTCATTTTGATGCAGAGGTCATATGGAAGGGCCAGGCTGCCCCAAACCTATATCCAGATAAGCTCACTGGGGCCGTTTTAGGAACGTAAAACTCATCAGGACAAATAGGTTAAAAGCCACTAAGTTGTGCAGGACACATGTTGCCAAGGGAGCTTGCCTTTTCCACAGGGGGCACTGGGCATGGGATTCCTCCTGGAATAGAACTGGGCTGGCCAGATGGGCTGCCCTGGGCAGCTTCCTCTACCTAGCACTGGGAGGTTCACAAAACCTGCTCAGTGGGGCTGAATCACAGCCAGCTGATATGCCTGTGCAATCCTCCTCTCAACCAGCAGTCTCTACTGGGATGACTGTGCTCTTTCCCCACCATCCCTCTCATGGTTTGGGCGTCAGGACCTGATGGTGAGGGCTGTTCGTTGCCCAGAGATGCAGACTTCCCAGCTGGAGGCAGTAACGGTACAGGGTTATTGCCCCACCAAGTCCCAGAGTATTCTGTGCATGGGAAGATGGGGTACAAGGTATTTGGAGGCAAAGAACCATTCTGTAGAGAAACTGCTAGCTGTGTATTGTAATATCAACTTTCCCTTCTGTCACAGAATGCTAGGTTTTTAGCTTTGCACAGGGACAAGGAGCACTAAAGCTATATTACTCAGCCTCCCTTATAGTGTGGGTAACCCTGGGTCCAAATTCTGCCAACAGGCTCTATAAACACTGTATGACAGTTTCCAAGAAACCTCCCTAAAGATGACTAGCATGTGCTTTTTGCCCTTCTTTCATCCTGCTGCCTGGAACACATGTGTGATGGCTGGAGCTCCACCTCTATTTTGGACCATGAGGTTGAGGGCCAGAATCTTGAGTGAGAAGGAAGAACCCTTGCCACCACGTATCAGCTCTGAATGGATTACCTCTGGGAAACACACAGAGAGAAACCTGTTTTTTTTTAAAGCCACTATTATTTTGGGTTTTCCATCATGTGGCTAAATTTAATCCTAACTTACACTATTACAGTATCCAGTATAAATGTGTTACTGGATTCACATTTTCACTCTGCAGGAATTAGCTGGAGCTGAGAAGCTGCACCCTTACTTTGCCAGTCCTCTCTCATTTATTTAACCCCTGTGGTCTGTGCAGGTATTTAAATTCAAGGTCCCTGTTCAGAAGGCTATTCTCTTTGTTAGAGAGGAACCTTCTGAGGACCAAAGATCCCTCCAAGATGACAGCTGAGCCCCTCCCTGCTCCCTTTCATCCCAGCATCAAGGCAGGCACGTGGGTGGCCCTGGCCCTGAGTGCTGGCCCTTCCGTCTCCTGTAGTCAGCTCTGTCTCCCTGGATTTTGAGCCCAGGCATGCAGCCATCTGCATGTGCCGCCATATGTACCTCCCAGCTCCTGCCCCTTCCCACTGGGTCCCAGTGACTGTTGAGTGAGAACTCCTCCGCTCAGACTCCCCGGCTCTGGAGGCTTCTTTTTTTGAGCCTCAAGCCAAGAGTTATGCCCATCCTCTCTCACAGTTGTCTGGATCTGCCTTCCTGCAGTCCAGGAAATGTGTGGGAGCAGGTGTGGCTTCCACACCCTGAGGCTCAGGGTCTCCCCACAGCTTCTGCTCACAAGCCATGTGCGGGAGCCAGGCACAGCAGCATCTCTTCTCCATCAGTGGGAGGCTGAGTGTAGACCTGGCTGGATGCTGCCAGTAGGGGACCACATCAGGAATGCACATGTCCTTTCCTCTGTCTAGCTAGGGACCTGCTATGCCCCTTAACGAGGTCCTATCTGCCCTTCCCTGCTCTTCGCCTCTCACCCTGGCCATTCTGGGCACTACCCTCACTCTGGCATGTGGTGACTTCTCCCCCCACTATGGTCAGCCTAGGGTGGGAATCCCTAAGACCTCTCCTGGGTCTCCTCAACACCTGCTGGCCCCACAGAGGCTAAGATCAGTTACACTGTTCCCTGCTCTGCCCACGTGGCTCCTCCAGTTCATAAGAGGTGTCCACATGTGTCTTCATGTAAACAGTCTCCAGTCCCACCCATCTTCTCCTTCCCACTTCTTGCAAACCCTGGGGGATGGGGATGTCTCTCATAGCATGCCTTCCACTCTGGGGAGAAGAGTGGCCAGCAAGCCAGCCCATCCTTGGGTCATCTGTTCCCCCCTCCTGTCTGAAATGAGGGTTTGGGGAGCACTATACTTTCCAGACCACTCTTAATCCTTATGGGACCAGGATGACTCATTATCTTCCTCACAGCTTTCTGGGCTTTTCTGCCTCAGTTTGATCAGCTTCAAGCCTTTGGGCCATGCCCTGTAGACCTAAAGGTTATGGGACCAGGATGACTCATTATCTTCCTCACAGCTTTCTGGGCTTTTCTGACTCAGTTTGATCAGCTTCAAGCCTTTGGGCCATGCCCTGTAGACCTAAAGGTAAATGAAACCCAGGTGTAGCCCTGGGCAAATTTCCTTTCTTTCTGCTTAAGTGTGGTCCAGTCATTGTGTCACCCACTTTAACTTGAAACAGCTTCTACTTCCCATGAGGTAGAATCCAAACTTATGAACATGCCCTGCTGGGCTCCTTGACTCATCTCTGTTACTCCTCTGGGGTCGCCTCCCCTGCATCACTGTACGGATTTCACACCAGCCTCCAGCCATTTCCTGGACACCTGTGCACATTCATCTCCTCATGTTGCACAGGCTATCCCCTGGATGGGTATTCTACTCAGCTTTTCAAAGCCCTGCTCATAAACCCTCCCAAGCTCCCTCGTCTTTTAATGGCGCGGGCCTTGCACGTGGTGTGGGTGGAAGCAACCCACACAAAACTCCTGCCCTCCAGGATTCCCCTCACCCGGAGTATGCCGCTTGGCCACCTGTTCAGAGAAGACAAGGAATTTCTGCTCTGTCCACCAGGCTGGCCTCATACATCACCTGAGCCAATGGCTAAATGGACCCCTTCTATACTCCCATGGTTTACTACTACATTGCACATGATCTTATAGCACATGACCCTGCTGCTGTCCCTAGACCCCAATGCTTCAAGCAGTCACTGCCAGTCTAGCCCCAGAAGCCCTGATCTGGTTCCTTCCTGCCATGTCTGTGAGCTTGCAGAGGGTGGACCCTGGGTCTCCAAGACCAGGTGGGCACACAAGAGTACCCATAGCTGGCAATAGACTTGAATGTGCATGGACAGGAGAGGCTGAGATCTGTGTGCCCAGTTCAGACAGGGAGCCTGGAGGACCCTAGCTAGCTAACAGGAAAGGCCCTGTAAGGGTCAGAAAACTACTACCTTTGGGGCATGGAACTTCGTAGGATGGGGGGTAAGAGATGGGGAGGAGGTGGAGGTAGGGAAAAGGTTCCTTGCTCTTTCCAAGGCTCCCAGGCCTACCCCTCTCTTGCTCCAGTAGGAATCCATGCCTATGGCCATCATGCCCAGACCTGCACTGTTCTGGGGGGTTCCTTTGGGATCCCAGGCTGGTTGTTAACTTCAGAGGATGGGGAGGTTTTGGCCAGGTATGGTTGGATTCAGGTAGGCATGGGCGAAGGGAGAAGCATGTCAGGAGGGAGATAGCGGTCCTGGAACTGGGAAAATCTCTGAGGGCTAGGGAGCAGATACCCAGGCTGTGAGTGAGCAGACACTTCAGGCTGCATTTTGACCCCCCAGCTTATGGGCAAAGGCATGCAGGATTTAGGCAAGGCTAGAAGAAAACAGTAAAGTGATATAATTAGTTAACCTTTGTTGAGCACTTAGTTTGTGCCAAACATCAATCTAAGCACTCCTATTAATGAATATGAGATAAGCATTATTATCATCCCCATACACAGATGAACAGCAGAGAAGTAAATGTCTTGCTTAAGTCACCCAGTAAGTGGAAGTTGCTGGACTCGGTCACAGGCATACAACCCCAAGGCCCAAGCAGGGAGCAGATCACCAAGGATTGTGAATGGCAGGCTCAGGGATATGGGTCTCATCTGGCAACCACAGGGGGGCCCTGGAGGGTCTTGGACAGAGGTGATGTGCTCAAAGATGCCTAGCAGCTTGGGGTGGGCACGGGCCACGGGCAGCCCCAGTGCTGCACCCCTTGGCCCTATTGGCCATCTGTCAGTGAGTGCTGAGAACCCAGGCTTGGTTTCTGCCTACACCAAGTTTTCCTTAGAAACAGCCCCAAGCCAATATGGAATGGGCAGGCTGTAGCTCCCCGGGAAGCCCACAGCAGACCTGTCCAGCCAGGAGTCTGGGAACCTCATGCAGGTTGTGTACAGGCCCAGAGCTTAGCACCAGTCCAGAGGAACCAGATCCTGGCTCATTAGACAGAGTGAAATGGAGACAGGACAGCAGAGCTAGGATGCCAGGTGGCTTTGCAAATGAACTCCCTGCATACAAGTAGCTGATCGGTCAAGTGCTGACAAGTTTATCGTGTAAGGCAGAAAATAACTACACCCAAACTCATCCACCATGACTCTGGCTCAAATGTA